CATAGATCTCAACATAAATCCAGCCACACTGAAACTTTTAGAAGAGAAAGTGGGAGATACTCTTCAACGAGTTGGTACAGGAGACCACTCCCTAAACATAACACCAGTGGCACAGGCACTGAGATCGACAATTAATCAATGGGACCTTCTGAAACGAAAAAGCTTCTGTAAGGCAAAGGACACAGTCAAAAAGACAAAAAGACAGGCCACAGAATTGGAAAAGATATTCACTAACCCTACATCTGACAGAGGGCTAATCTCCAAAATTTACAAAGAACTCAAGAAACAAGATCTTCCATTTTTTATGAAGTGTGTATTTAATGAAGATCATATTACATACTAACACCTTTTCCATTCCAAACAGACAGAAACCGACTTGCACAAAAGACTTAACTCAGATCCATGCATCTGGAGAATACTCCCATTATTACACAGACCTAGATAGTTGCACACTAACATTAGAGAAGTAAGCAGACATACTCCATTTCTCAGATATCACACTGATGAAATCCAAACCCTATATTCTGATTCATTGAAATTTATCGAAATAAAGATGAAATAATAATTTTTAAATTTTCATTGAGACACCATGAAAGGAAGTCTTTAGGAGCAATGACATTTGTAGAATGAATATGTGAGCATAGCAATTTTTAATGAAAGGTACCTCAATAGATACCATTGCCATAGTCTTGTGTTGATATACACATGTCTCACACAGAAACCATCATGGGAATTCAAGGATGCAGTGAACTTTTCATGTTCTTTTAGAAAATGATTTCCTTTCATTGATTAAATACTTTCCTTCTCATTTAGATCAAATTGCAGAATATTTTGTAAAATATATGCATTAGGAATGGCATCTAGAACATGAATGCTGTGCAAGGCTTCAGCACCACCCTATGCAATAAACGCATCTATGATACACACAAAGAGAACTAGTGCCTTACTTGTATTATAACATTGACAGAAATATAACAAAGAGATTCTGGCCTCCTTTCACTTAACACATTCTCATTATAATCATAACCCAGTTATGGAGGAAGTCAGACCTAATATAGGTTTAGTATAAATGCCTTATAATCTCTGTGTTTCAGGACAACTTGCAGTATCCAATTAAGACAGAAATTGCAGTCTGAAAAAAATTCCAATCAATGTATTTTTTATTTCTCTTTTACTGCAGGTTGGATTTGCAAATGCCTTTTATGTTTCAGGATGCAGAGGTAAGCATCGATTAATATTTTTAGAGGAATTCTTTTTCCATTCTTGATGTTTATTTTCAATTTTTTAGGATATTTCTTAATTTTTTGTTAATAGTGACTTCAATATTTCAAATTTATTCCCATAAAATCCATGCAAATATTGTCTTTCCTAGGAATGCTGCTGACAAATTAGACATGGATAATTTTTTCTACTCATGTGTGCTTCAATATGATGAATCCTATATGTTAATTCTGTATGAGTTTTGTAAGTCTATTCAGAACCTGAGCTATAAGCCAGCTGCACAGTCATGAGAATTCATTTCAAAGTCAAAGCCACAAGCTATTCCAGCTGATACATTTCATTGGAAACACACATTAGTTAGAAGAGGGCTCATCTGGATCAATGATGAAAACAAGTCTCTGAGGATGCTGATCGACCTGACCTATGCCACTCTGAGCTCCAGATGTGATGTACTCTTGAAAACACTGATGTTTCTGAAAAGTGGCTAGCACTCTTCCATTTTAAAGCATAAGGGATAAATGTGCAGACAGGCTTTGTCTCCAAAATTTTATGGTAATTATTTATTTTGTGTGGCAAAAATGTCTTATAGTTTGATTCATCACTTAATTATACACTAACTGGAATACCAACAGCAACAAACTGTTCAGCAAATTTTTCAGCCATTGACTAATACCTGACTGAAACATAAAACTAAATGTTGTGGAAGCACTGAAATTGTAACTGAGCATCTAGAGAGCCCTGCCGTGTGACTTTTCATAAATTGGGGAAAAAGAAGAATTTGGAGGATTCCCTTCCACCATTACCGAGCATATCAGAAAACTCAGATGGCACCAACTGAACCAATAAATAGCAATGGGATGTAATCTTCTATTTTGTTAGAATATTTGCTATTATGTAGTTAAAATTGAACATGTCATAATGACAGCAGCCATATCACCATACAGACACCTCATCAATCCACTTCCACATTGTGACAGAATAAGCAACAACATTTTGCTCTCATGGTAACATATTTAGAATATTGTTCTTTTTTGAATATCACGTGCATTTCCCAAAAGAATTGTTTGTCAGAAAAGTTGGGAAGAATGATCTTCAATTTTTTATATTGTGTTAATTTAATGAAGAGAATGTTGCATACTCATACCTTTTCCATTCCAACCAGATACAACGCTGAGTTGCACAAAAAACTTCGCTCACATACATGCATCAAGAGAACACTCCCATGATTACACAGATCTCCATGTTGCACATTTATCTTAGAGATTGAAACTGACGGATTATGTTTCTTAGTTGTCACACTGATGAAACACATACCTTATACTCAGATTCATTGAGATTCTTCCAAATAAAGATGAAATAATAATGTGTTTATGATTCACTGAGTGACCATGAAAGGAAGTCTTTAGGAGCAATGACATGTGTAGAAAGAAAATGTGAACATAATATTTTTAATGAAAAATGAATCTTAATAGAGAACCTTGCCATAATCTACTGCTATAGTACACAGGTCTCACACAGAAACCATCATTGGAATTCAAGGTTGCAGTACACTTTTCATATTTTTATTGAAAATGCCTTCTTTCATAAAATAAATGCTTACCTTCCCATTTACAAGTCATATAGCCAAAAATTTGTAAAATATATGTATTATCTTTTAGTGGGAGTGCAGACTGGCACTATCCTGATCCATGTCTAAAATCCATATATGAGTGAGTACATACCATGTTTCTCCTTTTGAGACTGGGTTACCTCACTCAGGATGGTTTCTTCCAGTGCTATCCATTTCCCTGCGAATTTCAAGATTCCATTTTTTTTCTGGGGAGTAATACTCCATTGTGTAAATGTACCATATTTTCTCTATCCACTCTTCAGTTGAGGGGCATCTAGGTTGCTTCCAGGTTCTGGCTATTACAAATAATGTTGCTATGAACATAGTGGAGCAGATGCCCTTTTTGTATGAACTTGCCTCATTTGGATATATGCCTAAGAGTGGAATCGCTGGGTCTAGCGGTAGATTAATTCCCATTTTCCTGAGGAATCTCCATACTGATTTCCAAAGAGGCTGTATGAGTCGGCACTCCCACCAGCAGTGGAGGAGTGTTCCTCTCTCTCCACATCCTCTCCAGCATAAATTGTCTTTGGTGTTTTTGATTTTAGCCATTCTGACAGGAGTAAGATGGTATCTCAGAGTTGTTTTGATTTGCATTTCCCTGATGGCTAAGGATGTTGAGCACTTTCATAAGTGTCTCTTGGCCATTTTAGCCTTCTCTACTGAGAATTCTCTATTTAGCTCTGTACCCCACCTTTTAATTGGATCCTTTGGTGTTTTGGAGACTTGTTTCTTGAGTTCTTTGTAAATTTTGGAGATTAGCCCTCTGTCAGATGTAGGGTTAGTGAATATCTTTTCCCATTCTGTGGCCTGCCTTTTTGTCTTTTTGACTGTGTCCTTTGCCTTACAGAAGCTTTTTAGTTTCAGAAGGTCACATTTGTTAATTGTCGATCTCAGTTAATTTAATGAAGAGAATTTTGCATACTCACACATTTTCCATTCCAATCAGATACAATGCTGAAATGTAGAAAGAACTTCCCTCAGATACATGCATCCAGAGAACACTCCCATGATTACAGAGACCTCAGAAGTTTCACAATTAACTTAGACATTGAAGCAGACACATTCTATATCTCAGTTATCCCATTGATGAAACATAATTCCTACACTCAAATTCACTGAAATTCATCCAAATATAGATGAAATAATAATGTGTTTATGTTTCACAGAGTGATCATGAAAGGAAGTCTTTAGGAGCAATGACATATGAAGAATGAATATGTGCACATAAAAATTTATAATGAAAAGGAATCTTAATAAAGAACCTTGTCATAATCTACTGCTGTGCTACACAAGTCTCACACAGAAACCATCACTGAAATTCAAGGTTGCAGTACAATTTTCATGTTCTTATTGAAAGTGCCTTCTTTCATAGAATAAATTCTTTCCTTCATTTACATGTCCAATAACCAAATATTTTAAAATATCTGTGTTACAAATGGCATCTAGAATGCCATTTCTGTGTGAGGCTTTAGCACCACCCCAAGCAATAAACCCAGGGAAGATACATACCAAAGGAACTACTGCCTTACCTTTGGTATAATATTGACAGAAACATCAGAAAGAGCTTCTGACCTCCTGTCTCTTAACACATTCTCATTATCATCTTAAACCATATATGGAGGAAATCAGACCAAATGTATTATTGGTGAAAATCCTCTATTATTTCTGTGGTTGAGGCCAACTTGCTCTATCCAATTAAGCTAGACACTGTAGAGTGGACAAAACTGCAGTCACTGTATTTTTTATTTCTAATTTTTTGCAGGTTGTAATTGCCATGGCCTCTTTCAGATTGGAGAGGTAAACACTGATTACTATTCATTAGAGCATGTCTTCCATTATTGATGTGTTTTTTATTTTTTTATGATTTTATCTATTTTTATAATACCGATTTTAAATATTTCAAATTTGTCCCATAATATCCTTGTGAATTTGCTCTTTCTTAAGAATAATGCAGGCAAATTAGACTTACATCATATTTCAGTTTATGTCTGTTTTCAGACGATGAAGCCTATGTGTTAATTTTGTATGTGGTTCAGTAACACTATTCAGAACTTTAGGAATAAGCCAGTTGCTTAGTCATGAACATTCATGTCAAAGTCAAAGTCACAAGCTATTCCAGCTTTCCCATTGCTTTGGAAACACACATGAGTTAAAAGAGGGCTTATCTGGAACATTGATGTACACAAGTCTCTGAGGACGGTGAATGACCCATAACTATGTGTATCTGACCTCCAGATGGGAGGTCCTCTTGACAAAAGAGATGATTCCCCAGAGTGGCTTTTTCTCTTCGATTTTGAATCATAAGTGATAACTGTGCAGACTGGCTTTGTGTCCAAAGTTTCATTTTAAAACTATTTTATTGTGGTAAAATTTCCTTATAATTTGTTTTTTAACCATTTACTAACCATTTACTAATGCCCGATAGAAATAACGAACTAAAAGATGTGGATGCAGTGCAAACATAAGTGAACATATCAGGGCAATTCCCTGTGACTTTCCATAATTGGGACAAAAGAGGATATTGTAGTATTCCCTGCCACTATTACTGAGCATTCCAGAGACCACAGTTTGATCTTCCTTCCTCCAATTACCTCAGTGGGATATAACTTCCCATGATGCCAGAATATTTTTTAAGGGATTGACAATGGAAAGGTATTATTTTTCCCGCTTTTTTATTTTAAATAGCTTGTTTTACATGTCAATCCCAGTTCCCTCTCCCTCCCCTCCTCCCGCATCCCCCCACCATCCTTCCCATCCTCCCACCCTATTGCCAATTCCTTCGGCATAGGGGTATCTACAGTCTATCATTTCATTCACGGTAGGGTCCAGGCACTTCACTAAGAGTCCAGGCAGAGAGAGCAACCCTCTTTGTGTTATGGACACATGATGTCTGTTAGTATTAGAGGGATAAACAGTGATCCACTGCTCAGGACCACATAGGTAGCCCAGGCCTCCTCACTGACTCTCACATTCAGGGGGTCTGGATCGGTCGCATGCTGGCCTCCCAGCTGTCGGTCTGGGGTCCAAGAGCTCTCCCATGTTAAGAGCAGCTGTCTCTGCTGGTTTTGCCAGCCCATTCTTTGCCAATTTGCTTTTCGCTCCTCTCTCTCTCTCTGTCACTGGGTTCCTTGGGTTCTGTTCAGTATTTAACTGTGGGTGTTTGCCTCTGCTTCCATCAGTCACTGGATGAAGGCTCCAGGATGGTTATAGACATCAAGTTCACTATCAGGAATGGGCATTCGAGGTGGTCTCTACACTATTGCTTAGCTTGCCAATTGGTGTCATCCGTTTAGATCACTAGAGGTCACAATGGTGCCTGATTTGTCTTCTAACCTATGATTCTCTCTTCCCCCTATCCTACCCACACAGTCGACCTTCCTGTTCGTCCACATCCTACTCTCTCTTCCACTTCTGCCCCTCTCTATTTCCCAGGTCCCCCTCCCCCCCAGCCCTTGTCATGTTCGCCATCTGTTCAGAGGATCTTGCCTCATTTCTCTTCTCTTGGGTACCATGTATATCTTTTAGTTTCTTTCCTGTTTCCCAGACTCCCTGTCACTAGAAATGCAGACTGGCACTCTCCTGAACAATATTTAAAATCCATATATGAGTGATTACATACCATGTTTGTCCTTTTGTGACTGGGTTACCTCACTCAGGTAACCCATTTTCCTGAGGAATCTCCATAGTGCTTTCCAAAGTGGCTGTACGAGTTGCCACTCCCACCAGCAGTGGAGGAGTGCTCCCCTATGTCCACATCCTCTCCAGCTTAATTTTTCTTCGGTGTTTTTGATTTTAGCCATTCTGACAGGAGTAAGATGGTATCTCAGAGTTGTTTTGATTTGCATTTCACTGATGGCTAAGGATGTTGAGCACTTTCTTAAGTGTCTCATGGCCATTTTAGCCTCCTCTATTGGGAATTCTGTTTAGTTCTGTACCCCACATTGTTATTGGATCCTTTGGTGTTTTGGAGACTTGCTTCTTAAGTTCTTTGTACATTTTGGAGATTAGCCCTCTGTCAGATGTGGGGTCAGTGAATATCTTTTCCCATTCTGAGGACTGCCTTTCTGTCTTGTTGACTGTGTCCTTTGCCTTACAGAAGCATTTTAGTTTCATGAGGTCCCATTTGTTAATTGTCGATCTCAGTGTCTATGCCACTGGTGTTATGTTCAGGAAGTGGTCTCCTGTACTAATCCATTGAAGAGTATCTCCCACTTTCTCTTCTAAAAGTTTCAGTGTGGCTGGATTTATGTTGAGATCTTTGATCCATTTGGACTTAAGTTTTGTACAAGGCGATAAACATGGATCTATCTGCAGTCTTCTGCATACTAGTACCCAGTTATGCAAGCACCATTTGTTGAAGATGGTTTCTTTTTTCCATTGTATAGTTTTAGCTACTTTTTCAAAAATCAAGTGTTCATAATTGTGTGAGTTAAAATCAGGGTTTTCAATTCGGTTCCATTGGTCTACCTTCCTATTTTTGTGCCAATACCAAACTGTTTTCAGGACTACAGCTCTATAATAGAGCTTGAAATCAGGTATGGTAATACCTCTTGAAGTTCCTTTATTGTATAGGGTTGTTTTTGCTATCCTGGGCCTTTTGTTTTTCCATATAAAGTTGATTAATGTTCTTTCCAGGTCTGCGAAGAATTGTGGCAGAATTTTCATAGCGATTGCATTGAATCTGTAGACTGCTTTTGGCAAGATTGACATTTTTATTATGTTGATCCTACCAATCCAAGAGCATGGAAGATCTTTCCATTTTCTGGTATCGTCTTTGATTTCTTTCTTTAAAGAATCAAAGTTCTTGATATGCAGATTTTTCACTTCCTTGGTTAACATTATCCCCAGTTATTTGATGCTGTTTATGGCTATTGTTTTTTTTTTTCTCTTTTTTTTTGTTTTTTTTGTTTTAGTCAGTTTTTTTTATTTTCCAGTTTAACTTTAGATAAGAAACGAGGTTGCTTCACAATTCAGTTCCAGGTCCCTCTCCCATTCCCTCCCCTCCTCCCGTGCCCTCCCCCCAACCCCCCCGTTATCCCCTCATTACCCCAGGGAGGGTGAGGCCCTCCATGGGGGTGTCCATAGTCTGTCATTTCATATAGGGCAGGGCCTAGACCCTTCCCCAAGAGTTCAGGGTGAGAGTGCACCTCACATTGTTCTATGGGAGTCCAAAGTCCGTGTGTATACTTGGGATGGGTACTGATCTGCTGCAAAAGGCTTATGGCTATTGTAAAGGGTGATGTTTCTCTGATTTCTTTCTCAGTCACTTCATAGTCTGTATATAGTAGGGCCACTGATTTTTTTTGAATTTACCTTGTGTCCTGCCACTTTGCTGAAGGTGTTTATCAGGTCTACAAGTTTTTTGGGTCACTTATTTAAACTATCATATCATCTGCAAATAGTGAAAGCTTGACTTCTTCTTTTCCTATTTGTATCCCCTTTATCTACTTTTGTTGTCTTATTGCTGTAGCTAGGACTTTAAGTACAATATTGAAGAGATATGGAGAGAGAGTGGACAGCCTTGACTTGTTCCTGATTTTAGAGGAATTGCTTTGAGTTTCTCTCCATTTAGTTTGATGTTAGCTGTTGGTTTACTTTATATTGCTTTTATTATATTCAGGTATGTTCCTGTTATCCCTGATCTCTCTAGGACCTTTATCATGAAGGGGTACTGTATTTTGTCAAAGGCTTTTTCAGCATCTAGTGAGATGATCATGTTCTTTTTCTATCGCAGTTTGTTTATATAGTGGATTACATTGATAGATTTTCTAATCTTGAACCATCCCTGCATTACTGGGATGAAGCCTACTTGATCATGTTGGATGATTTTTCTGATGTGTTCGTGAATCTGGTTTGCTAGTATTTTATTGAGTATTTTTGCATAGATGTTCATGAGGGAAATTGTTCTATAGTTTTCTTTCTTATTTGTGTCTTTGTGTGGCTTGGGTATCAAGGTAATTCTAGCCTCGTAAAAAGAGTTTGGCAGTGAGCCTCCTGCTTCTATTGTGTGGAATACTTTGAGGAGTATTGGAGTTAACTCTTCTTTGCTATTTTCTAGTTTAAATTGAACATATCTCAATGGAAGCACCCATCTCACCATCTAGACACCATGACAGGCCACTTCCACATTGTGACAGAATAAGTACCAACATTTTACTAACATGGTAACATGTTTAAGCTTTTAAATTTATTTTTAATAGTTACATTTCTGATTTTTAATCTGGGATTTTAAAGATTTGTGGTTTTTTTTTTAATCATTTTTTATTTTAATTTTAAATAGCTTGTTTCACATGTCAATCCCAGTTCCCTCTCCCTCCCCTCCTCCCGCACTCCCCTTCCACCCTCCCTCCCACCCTATTGCCAAATCCCTCCACATAGGGGATGTCTAGAGTCTATCATTTCACTCTTGGTAGGGTCAAGGCACTCCCCTAAGAGTCCAGGCTGAGAGAGCATCTCTCTTTGTGCCATAGGCACATGAAGACAGATTGTATACCAGGGATAGACACTGATCCACAGCTCAGAGCCCCATAGGTTGCCCAGGCCTTCTCACTGACACTCACATTTGGGGGGTCCAGATCAGTCCCATTCTGGCCTCCCCACTGTCGGTCTGGGGTCCAAGAGCACTCCCCTGTTCAGATCAGCCGTCTCTGCTGGTTTTGCCAGCCCATTCCTTGCCAATTTGCTCATCACTCCTCTCTCTCTGTCACTGGGTTCCTTGGGTTCAGTTCAGTGCTTAGTTGTGTGTTTGCCTCTGCTTCCATCAGTCCCAGGATGAAGGCTCCCGGATAGTTATAGACATCAAGTTCATTATCAGGAATGGGCATTCGAGGTGGTCCTTCCACTATTGCTTAGCTTCCAATTGATGTTATACCTTTAGATCACTCGAGGTCACTCTGGTGCCTGATCTGTCTTCGATCCTATGATTCCCTCTTCCCCTATTTTACCCCCACCCCCTCAACTTCCTGTTCCCCCATGACCAACTCCCTTCCTCTTTACCCCCTCTACTCTTCCCAGGTCCCACTACCCCCCCCTCGCCCTGTTCCCCATCCATTCAGAGGATCTTGTCTCCATCCTCTTCTCTTGGGTACTATGCATATATGCATATTTTTTATTTCTATTTGGTTACAGTTTATATTTACAATGGACTCCTATCATTCATGCTGGAGAGGTAAGCATTGACACAAGATAGGCCTCATGCAGAAAACAACATACAAATCACAAGGCTAGCACTGA